CTCACCGTCTACCCTGTGTAGCTTCAAGAACATCGTGAGCACAGCGATGAAGAGAGCTGCACAAACTGCGCCAAGACCACCAGCCACAGCGAAGAGGCCGCTTCTCGAGATGGCACAGTCCGACGATTCTGCAGCTGAGAGAGGAAGTGATTAGCGTCATGGTCAACATCAAAGAATTCGACACTCACCAAGCTTTGACCCCCTCGTTGCTGCAAGTTCAGGCGGCTCCTCGTCCAAATCGAAGATCATCAACTGCCCGGCTATCATCGGCTTTTCACTGCTGTTCATCTCATCCTTGGAGCGTGACCTCTCTTCTTGTCGATCATCGAGAGGAGGCACGTCACGACGTCGTGCTGACGTCCAGTCCACCTAAGTCATTCAATTGTCGGTATAAACAGCAGTCAGGTGCAATTGTACAGACCTGAATTTGATCAATCTTGTCACCAGAACGTAGATCACCTGCACGAAGCTCCCTCATCGTTCTTGTTGGACGTCGGTCAAGCTTCTATTGAAAGTAGAGAAAAAGATCAGTCAGAAATTATCGAAACTTAACTCCAAAGCAGCTCTAATTAGTGAATGTATCATGAAATTTGAAACACTTTGAACGGCATTCACACTTCTTTTATAACAAAATTATTACCTTCAGTTGTTTCTTTAACAGTTCGAAACCTTCAAGAAGAGCTTTGCGATCGTCGACAGAATCCCTGAAAATCATTTTTGAGCCTCGCAGTCAAATCTGTATTCATATTATTTTTGATCCATAAGTCTTACAACAATGTTCTAAAAATCGCCTGAAAATGCTTGAAACAATGTTTCATGTTGTATTTGTTTTTGAGTCGTGGAGTAAGTACCCTATCCAATTATCGCTATAAGTTTTATTTGAAATAAAATCAGAATGTCGAGTAGAAATGTCAGTGAAAGTGAAAATGAAAGTTAGAAATGAAAACATAACTATTAGTAGGAACATCCATTCCACTATGAATTTCTCCCAGTTGAGAAGAGTAATTCGCAAAACAAAATAAACTTTAGTTTTGGACCGAATTAGCGATCAAACATCAAAAAAGTTCAGTTTGAATATTTATCTTAATCAGCTCGTATCACCTTGATTTGTTGATTTGAAGAGCTTGATTCTTGAATTAGGCACTGTTAGAATGCGCTTGGTTTTCTTTCCTCAACTGTTTTTGAATGAACAAATCTTTCTAAAAGGAACAGTTACGATTTTTCAAGCGTTTTGATGCAGAGCATATGAATCAATACAATACTCTGATTTATTTCTTCTTGATTCCAGGCCGTCATGCTACAATTTACAAGCTTCCTCCACATTTATTCATAAATAATGATGTGCACCCCTTTGTTGCCCTTCATAAAACATAATTTTGACATTTTCTACAACAATAATTCATGCCAGCAATGTAACGAATCTATCTTACCTGAACATCTTCTGAAGTGTTTCTGGACTCAAATCATCGGGCAAATTCGCCAGCAGATCCGTAAGATTTGGAGGGATTGTGACATCATCGTAATCGTTGTAATCGCCTGAAAGGTTTCAAAATTGCCAACACTTTTTCTGATTGCGCGTTTCCCTTTTGTCGTAGGTGTTTAGTCCACTTTCTCTGCTGACCCCTATTCGCAAATGACTGGAACTCGAGAGGCTAATTGGATGACGGACAGCGACAGTGAACTTGAGCGCAGAAAAGCAAAATGACAAACTACTACACTTAGCTACTGAAGGGAAGAGTAATTTTTATAAAGTATTGTCGGGCCAATTTGTTAAGTTTGAAAAATAAAAGTTCTATTCTTTCAGATTTTGAGTAAGTGAATCCAACATTTTGTCGGTAAAAAATATTTTTGACAGCTAGTCTCATATTTTCCAGATATTTTTTATCGGTGCATCACGACTATCGGGTGCAGAATTTTCCAATGGTGGAGTTAAAGGAGGACCGCAAAAGCAAATGCTTAACAGGAAAAACTACTTGGAAAAATCTTATCCCACTAAACGTCAAAAAGGTAGCACTGTGGTCATAATTACCTAGGGTACAGAAATTATTTTCAAAGCTAAGCACTAATCCTGCTCCAGACGGAACCGCCTCAAGAGTAACAAGCTCGTTGTCAATTTACAATATCTTGATAGCACAGACAGGTGAGTAAACTAGATATTATATGAATAGAATAAGAAGAAGTTGATATGCAAGGAGATTTTGGACAGAGACATAGCACGAAATTGCGTAAGCGAACGAACATAGGCTAGCGGTAACAAGGTATGAAAAACTATGA